CAACTTCATCCCACCCAGACGTACAGAGAATCAAAGCTGCATTCTAGATCTACCACCCAGTTCAAAGGCTCTACAGAGTGGAGTCAAATATGTGAGCCTAAAGCAGTCAGAATCTGCGTCTAGCTGCATTTCGTATCCCAGTTATGATGACAAAAAAAAATCTATAAGCCTGACATATATTTACACAACTCTGACCATTTTTATACACCTCCTACACATTATACTAGTTCCACAGAAGCACTTATTTTGTCTAAGTCAACAGATACCAATACAATGCTGACACTTTTTTTTCTATACTACTATGATGTAGCATTAATTCTTACACTAGTATAACACCTATAAGCTTTTTATAAAGTACTAAGACACTCAGAAAAGCTACAGGAACTCATGATGAACAACACCTTCAAAACATAACCTTCTGGCTTTCAGTTACCAAAGATCATGGAAACTGAATGGACAATCTATCGTTACTGAACAAATGGCCGCATTCTCTGTGGCAATATCAGAATTACAAAAGAACTTCTTACTTCACTGAACTTGTTCCACTATTTGCGAAGTAATGCTGCTTGAAACCCAGTTTCCTGGATTAGCTCAGCAGCAATGACTAAGTCACCTCCAAAATCTGAACCAAAATCCGAACCAGAGTGCAACACCTTTCTCCCTGCGCCTTGTGTTAACTGGATGCTACTGGGAAGACTAGGTTTCCCCTACACCCCTGGAGCGAACTGCGAAGTCCAGTCCACGATCTGCCCACAACCCGCCCCTTAATAGTTTGGATAACATGCTAATTCATTCAATCACATAATTAAACATCTGGTTACTTAGGCTTGCAGTGAAACAAATCGAGCCTGCTGTTTGGCCAACTACTGCCTATCAAGAACGGCTGAGCTCTGGCTGTGCTTTCAGCCCCATGCAAAGCCAGCTGCTTAACTGTCGGTCACACAGAAATTGTCCTAATTCTTTATCCAATACAGGGTTGCAGGAGAGCCGGAGCCTATCTAGGAAAAGACAGGCTCCGGCAAGGCAGGATATATCCAGGACAGCACATCACAGGGCACACGCAGACACACTCACACCAGAGCCAGATTCCCAGAACCTGCCAGCAGGTGTTCAAGACGGTGGGAGGAAACTGGAGCACCCAGAGGAAACCCACAGGAAGAACACGAACACACTCCACTTACACAGCACCCCAAATTCCAAAACAGAACCCAGGGCCCCAGCTCTGACATGGTAACACCAAGTCTCTTTTGTTTTTGATATGTTGGTCCTAACCCGTACGCAGCCCCTGGAGACAGACGCGACCTTACCGATCTGCCTCTCGATGTCAGCCGCCTCGTCCGGAGTGGCGCGGGGCAGGATGCCGGGGTCAGTGAAGCTGGTCTGCAGGAGCGAGATGACCACGAAGAAGAAGAGCACCCCTCCAATCGCTGGGATGCAGCTGGTCAGGTTCCGCACCAGGAAAGGACAGCTGGGGTGGACAACAGGGACAAAGGGAATGTTTGGCTCCCATATACAAACACAGCTAACGGAGCTACATCTCATCCCTCCAGAGCAAGGGAGATCGACAGGAGATCTGATTATAGCGTATACAGTTCTCAAAGGCACAGACAGGATCAACGCGGGTGGCTGTTTCAGACAAAGTAGCACAGCATTTTTTGCTAGGAGTCTGGAACACAACTTCTGGTTTGCCCTAGCTAGGTGATTGTGGCCCAGACTGTAGTCTTCATCAAGAAGAGGCTAGACAAATTTAAATTCACTTAGCTGCTAAACTACAGAAAGCAACATGGGCCTAATTTCATCCTTTTATTGGCAATCTTTATGTCCTTAGGGCTCAAAATCAACATATTTCTCTGGAGTGCTACAGGACCCTTCTGAGCTGGGCTCTGACTTCGCTTCCTACTGTCAAGTAACACAGCCCTGGGGATACCTCAACAGGTGCTGCTGTTACTTCCTCATAGAAACCTTATCCCTCGGCCCAGAAATCTGACTACTTGTTCATTATTTAAATCGGTAGCCTTTATTATTTAAGTTTTAATGGGCTTTGGGAGCTTTATCTTGTCAAGAGCCGGGTGAGTGGCAGGCCTGGGTACACGTGAACAGGCTGTTCTGAACACGTCTGTTTTTAACGTTCCCACTGACTTCAGGAACTGTGTATTTCAGCGTCTCGGAAATATCCCCGTGAATAAAATTCACTTATACGGCAGAACCGCGTCTTTTGAACACACTGCGAATGTTGCATGAGCAAATAGTGCAATAGGAATTAGATTAAGTCTGTAAGGGTGTGAGTAGAACAAATGTCAGCTATTTGCTTTGTATGTCCCTTTTCGAAGGCCATCGAAGTTCCTCCAACTTTGCCAGCACTGCTCCCGCGACGATGCATGCAAATTTCCCCCTTAAACATCTATCTTGTGGCTAAATAATACCGTATGAAATCCAATCCCATAAACTTTTTTTTTTGTAATGATGTTCAATCGTATCACTTAGCCGGATGAAACAAAGGTCCTAAACATCAAGGCTCTTTCGTGTGAAGCCACCCTGAGAATCCAAACCACGCAGCCTGTGTTGTCTTGACACACGTGTTTTTCTTAACTCGCTTGACCAGTGTGGCATGAGATTCGTCATGGGAGAAAACAAAAAACAGGAAACCACACATTTCGGAGAAAAATAAAAGATCCCTTTTCACCACTGCTGTAGAAGAGTTATTCCGTTTGTTAGTTGAAAAGACAGGTACATTTCCCTTCCTGTAGATCTTGGTGAGAATCGGATGCTTTTTTTATGGGAACGTAACACACTTTCACAGAGCAGCATTACGACACCGACGCTGTTATTGCTGAGTACTTACTCGAAGATGAAGAAGAGGCCGCTGGTGACGAAGATTAGACCGAGTGTCAGCGGAAGGACGCCGCTCTGACGGGCGACGATGATCCGGCCATCGCAGTAGAAGCGGTTCTTCCCCGGAAAAACTTCCCATTTCCTCCGCGGACGCTGCAGGCTGGTCTTCTCGGAGCCGGGCGCGGCTGCCGGCGGCGTGGGTGTGGAGAGGGCTTGTGGGTCAATTTGCTGATATTCGCAGTTTTTCATGGTTTAATTTGGTAGGGACGAGGCTGGAAATAGCAAAATGAGCCAGAGGCAGGTGCCGTGGTAATATGGCTGTTTTCAAGAAAATCCTCCCGAGTGAGATAATTCCTACCTTGGAAAATGTTAACTACGATATGTAGAGATCATTCCAGCTTTGTTCTACAGTGTCTGGCGAATGGTTGTATGGTATTGCTTTCAACTGAGCTACAACGACATCAAACAGTCGGTAATTAAAGGTATCGTTTAAAAATTCCCCTCGCTGTTCCAGCAAACACGGAACAAACAGGACTCCTGCGGCTAAACAAAATACATTTCAGTGTCTTATCTTTAAAACCCGATAATGGCATTGCTACAATGAACCCTGCTCAGCTTTCAAAAGCAGGGATTCACATCTATTATAAGGATCCAAGCCCGATTGGATTTGCTCTACGAGTTGCCAGTACTATTGCCACTATCAGAACACTGTCCCGCAGCGTAAACTGTATTCGACAACGATTCAATCCGCAAAAACTACTTCGGTTTTCATTTAGCCTTGTTTTTTTTTTACAGAAACAATACCCAGCCGTTTAGATAGAAAAGTATGACTTAATCCTTTAATTCCGGACGCTGATGTTTAAATCTGAACAACAACAACAACAACAATAACAACAACAAAAATAACCTACATCGCTCTTTTATTGCAGTATTTCCAAACCAGGTCTTAATGTATTTCCCGGGCAAAGTCAGATTCCGCGAGC